TTTGATCCCCCTTTTCCCAGGGCCCGTCGCCGCTCCCCCTTCTTTCACTGGGCCCTCGTCCTCAAGCGAGCCAGCCAAAGCGAAACCAAAGCGAAATTAACAACGCCGTAGTTGAGTCGAAGGGAAGCCCCATTCCCTTTGATCCCTTCCCCCCGCGGGGGGGCAGCAAGTGGGAGTCCTGAGGGGGTCCCGGGTGGGGTCCCGAGTCAGAGCACCATCGTCCCCCGGGGGGGTCCTGGGGCCCCAAAAAAAAACCAAGACAGCCCAAGAGGGAACCAGGACGGTGCAAGAGAGCCCCGAATCGCCGCACACTCGGTCCAAGACGCCAAAGATAGCCTCCTGACAGCCCAATCGGCTGCCAAGACGATCGAAGAGGCCTCCAAGAGCACACCATAAGAGCCTCACCAGGCAAAATCAAAATTGAAAGATTTTGGCGTTCTCGCCTTTTCGGCTTCCCGACGCCCCAATAACTGCCCAAAATGCCACCAAGATCGACACAAGGGACCCCCAAGAGGTTTCCAAGACGGCCCCAAAACGACCCAAGAGTGCCCCAAGACGGCCTCCCAACGGTCCAAGAGGCACCCAAAACGGCTCCAAGAGGGTGCCTACACAGAAGCCCGAAAGAACATTTCGAGCCCTAGGCCCCGAGAAGTTCCCAGGAAGCCCCAAGAGGCCCCCAAGAACCAAGAACCCCACGAGGCCCCAAGAGGCCCCTAAGAGGCCCCCAGGAAGTTCAAAGGGAGCCCCAAGAGACTACCAAGAGGCCCCCAAGATGCTCCCCAGAGGCCCCCGAACTGCCCCCCAGAGGCCCACGAGCGTGCTCCGAGGAGGCCCCACAAAGCATCCCTGAGGACTCTGCCCCACGCCAGCATCGTCGTCGCCGCCGACGCCGCCGTCGTGATCGCCGTCCCCCTTCAGGGTCGGCGGCACCGGCCGCAAGGCCTTCCCAATATCAAGCTTCAGGATCAGTGATGATGAGGAATCAGGAAGTCTGCAGCGAAAAGTCCGGCCCGCCCTACCAACACGTCCGAGGGTGCGACGGGAAGGAGTTGCTCATAAGGGAAAGGGAATGGAGGAGAAGAAGGAGAAAGAGGAGGAGGAGGACGACGACGAGGAGGACGGCCAGCAAGCCTGGCTCCGGCGGGTTCCGCCTGTCTGCCCCTGAGCCCCGAAAGAACCTGGGAGGGCAAGCGACGAGGGAAAGATGCGGGGCAATGCGGCAGGCTTCCCTCGTCACGCATCCTCCTTCTCCTCCTCCTCCTTCTCCTCCTCCTCCTTCTCCTCCTCGTCCTCCTCCTCCTGGCTCCTCCTCCTCATCATCATCATCCTCCTCATCCTCCTCCTCCTCCTCCTCCTCATCATCATCATCATCATCATCATCGTCATCATCATCCTCATCATCATCCTCATCTTCATCCTCATCCTCATCCTCATCCTCATCATCATCAGCAGCATCATGATCATCATGATCATCATCATCATCATCATCATCATCATCATCATCATCATCATCATCGTCATCATCATACTCATCCATCCTAATCCTCCTCCTCCTCCTCCGCCTCCGCCTGTTTCCTCTTCCTGCTGCCTCGACCGCCTGCCTCATCGCCATCATCATCAGCATTATCATCATCACCACCACAACCATCATCATAATCAGCATCAGCAGCAGCATCATCATCACCACCACCACCCCGCCACCATCATCATCATCAGCATCAGCATTTTCAGCAGCAGCATCATCATCAACACCACCATCACCACCACCACCATCATCATCATCATCATCAGCATCATCATCATCATCATCATCATCATCATGTTCATCATCATCATGATCATGATCATGATCATGATCATCATCATCATCATCATCATGTTCATCATCATCATTGTCATCATCCACCTCATCATCATCATCATCATCATCATCATCATCATCATCATCACCATCATCATCATCATCATCATCGTCGTCGTCGTCATCCTCCTGGGCATTACCATCATCATCATCATCATCATCATCATCATCATCATCATCATCATCATCATGAGCATCATCAGCATCATCATCGTCGTCATCATCATCATAATCACCATCATCATTATCATCTTCGTCATCATCACCATATCCTCACATCCTCATGCACATCGTCATATCAACAACAACCACCACCGCAAGATCAGCATTTACATCCTCAGCACCATCACCATCAGCGCCATCACCATCACCATCACAAGCATCATCATTGTCATCAGCAGCACCATCGTGATGATCATCATGATCATCATCATCACCATCATCATCAGCATCCTCAGCATCGTCATCATCATCAGCACCATCATTATCATCCTCATCCGCGTCACCATGACCGTCGTCATCATCATCATCATCATCATCATGATCAACATCAGCAGCAGCAGTCTCATCTCACTCATGAACATCATCGGCAGCAGCAGCACCATCAGCAGCATCAGCATCAGCATCAGCATAGCCATTATCAGCAGCCTCATCATCATCCTCACCACCATCATCAGCATCATCATCCCCGTCAGTACCATCCTCAGCAGCATCCTCATCATCATTGGCATCAGCATCAGCAACATCACCGAAATCACCATCCTCATGAGCATCAACATCATCGACATCATCATCATCATCATCATCATCATCATCATCATCATCATCATCGCCACCATCACCACCACCACCACCACCATCATCATCATCATCATCATTCTCCCTCTCGCCATCATCACCACCATCACCACCACCACCATCATCAGCATGATTACCCTCATCACCTTCAGCATCATCAGCATCTTCAGCATCATCAGTATCATCATCATCAGCAGCAGCATCAGCATCATCATCACCATCATCAACATCATCATCATCATCATCAGCATCATCATCATCGCCGCAACCATCACCACCACCATCATTATCATCATCGTCCTCCTCCCCCTCCTCACCACACCACAAGCATCATCATCAGCATCATCACCACCATCATCATCACCACCATCATCATACTCATCGTCGTTATCATCATCACCACCACCACCACCATCATCATCATCATCATCACCATCACCATCACCATCATCATCATCATCATCATCATCATCATCATCATCGGCGTCATCATCGCCACCATCATCACCACCACCACCACCGTTATCATCATCGTCCTCCTCCTCACCCCCACCACCAGCATCATCATCACCAGCATCATCACCATCATCATCAGCAGCATCATGCACGCGGGGGTTCTTGAAAGCAGGAGGCCGCCTCGCCAAGGGAGAGAAACACAGATGGCGTCTGTGGCCTGGGGGGGGGCGTTCTCGGTGGGCCACCCCGTCACCTGCCCTGTTCTCCCCGCCACCTCCCCTGGAGTCAAGCCCTCCACCATGCCCCTCTACCCTCGTCGCCGAGGACCAAAGTCCAGAGCACCAGGGAAGGCGTTCTCGACGCGAGCCTGACGTTGCCAGAGCCTTCAGGCATCGGCCGAACCGCCAGCCGCAGCGCGGCCCTGCGGCAGGCTCCTTCGCTCTCCTGCAAGCCCACCTTCCTTGGTGCCCTGGCTTCCGGGAGGCACGAGCGACCACGGACCTTCCCGAATGCCCCTGCGCCTACCGCCACCAGCGCCAGCGGCGCTGCCTCTGGCGCGCGGCGCAGCTCCAGCGGCAGCTGAAAGGTACACGCGTCGGCCCTCGCGAGCAGCGGCCCGAGCACCTCGCCACGCAGCTGGCTCCTGTCCAGCGCGCTCACGAAGGACAGCGGCATGAGCCTGCCCTGCTCCACCTGGGCCTCGCGGACGCCCAGGTCCTGATCAGCGGCCTCTGGGGCGCACGGCCCGGGAGCCTCCATGGCCTTCAAGATCTGCTCGGCAACGGCCCTCGGGTTGGCTGGATCGGCCGACAGCCAGGCGAAGGAGCGGTCTCGCAGGAACCAGTGCATCTGCTGTTGCGCGTACTTCCTCGAGGCGGTCCCGAAGTTCTGCAAGAAGGCTGCGAGCGCGTCGAAGTCCCCCTCGCGCGGCTCCTGCCGCCGACTCCTCCTCCTCCTCCTCCTCCTCCTCCTCCGCCTCCTCCTCCTCCTCCTCCTCCTCCTCCTCCCCTCCTCCTCCTCCTCTCCTCCTCCTCCTCCTCTCCTCCTCCTCCTCCTCCTCCTCCTCCTCCTCCTCCTCCTCCTCCTCCTCCTCCTCCTCCTCCTCCTCCTCCTCCTCCTCCTCCTCCTCCTCCTCCTCCTCCTCCTCCTCCTCCTCCTCCTCCTCCTCCTCCCTCCTCCTCCCTACTCTTCATCTACTCTTTTCCTCCTCCTCCTCCTCCTCCTCCTCCTCCTCCTCCGCCTCCTCTTCCCTCCTCCTCCTCCTCCAACTCCTCCCTCCTCCTCCTCCTCCTCCTCCTCCTCCTCCCCTCCTCCTCCTCTCCTCCTCCTCCTCCCCTCCTCCTCCTCCTCCTCCTCCTCCTCCTCCTCCTCCTCCTCCTCCTCCTCCTCCCATCCGCCTCCGCCTCCGCCTCCGCCCGCTCCTCCTCCTCCACCTCCTCATCCTCCTCCGCCTCCCTCCTCCTCCTTCTTCTCCTCCTCCTCCTCCTCCTCCGCCTCCTCCTCCTCCTCCTCCTCTCTCCCTCCTCCTCGTACTGCTCCGCCTCGCCCTCCGCCTCCGCCTCCGCCGCCTCCACCACCACCACCCCACCACCACGTCACTTCCTCCTCCTCCTCCTCCTCCTCCTCCTCCTCCTCCTCCCCTCCTCCTCCTCCCTCCTCCTCCTCCTCATCCTCCTCCTCCTCCCTGTCCTCCTCCCTCCTCCTCCTCCTCCCCTCCTCCTCCTCCTCCTCCGCCTCCTCCTCCTCCTCCTCCTCCTCCTCCTCCTCCTCCTCCTCCTCCTCCTCCTCCTCCCCTCCTCCTCCTCCTCCTTCTCCTCCTCTCTCCTCCTCCTCCTCCTCCTCCTCCTCCTCCTCCTCCTCTCCTCCTCCTCCTCCGCCTCCTCCTCCTCCTCCTCCTCCTCCCCCCCCGTCCCTTCACCTGATACAGAAGTCCTCCCTGCCGCGCCCCCAGACGTGTCGGTAGGGCGGGCAGGTCGTTTCGCCCGGGATGTGTTCACCCTTTACGGTCCTGAAGCTTGAAAATTGCAGCAGCTTCAAGGATGGAGTGCGTGTCTTGTTCAAAATGTAGCTCTCGCTCTAGCACCGCGCACATTCGTCTTAAAAATGCAAAACACGTTCACGGATGGCGGGCGGGTGTTTCTTTAATGTGGCTCTCGCCTTATCGCCGCGCCCATGCGTATCGAAAGCTTGGAATCGATTCACGGATTGAGGGCAGGCCGTTTTCAAACTGTTGCTCTCGCCTTAGCGCCGCGCACAACCGTCTTAAAGAATGCAGCAGCTCCAAGGATTGAGGGCGGGCCCTGCTCCAAAAGTGACTCCCGCCTTAGCACCGCGCACATTCGACTGAATAGTCTGCAATCGCTTCAAGGATGGAGGGCGGGTCATGCTCAACGTGGCTCTCGCAGTTTTGCAGCGCACATTCGTTTCCGAAGTTTGCGACAGTTTCAAGGATAAGTATGGCTGAAACCCATGGAATTGTGCTCTGGCACGATTTAGGGCCGTCAGGACGCAGCACTCGTTTTGAGTCGCGGCGTTGCGTTCTGGAACGATTTAGGATTGTCGGAACGCAACAGCCGCGCTGCTTCGGGGCGTTGAAACCACAGGAATGCTGCCTTGGCACGATTGAAGATTCTCAGCCAGTTGCCTTCCAGCGGGTACTTCCCGCAGTGAAGACAAACTTGTGTAGGGACCCATGAAGAGGGAACTTGGTACGGTTTATGGCAATATCGTTGATGCGTCTTGGATTAACACTAAGCATCCTCCTCATCATCATCATCATCATCATCATCATCATCAGCATCATCATCATCACCACCACCACCACCACCACCATCATCATCATCATCATCATCATCCTCATCATCCTCATCATCCTCCTCCTCCTCCTCCTCCTCCTCCTCCTCCTCGTCCTCATCCTCCTCCTCCTCGTCCTCCTCTTCCCACCTCCCTCCTCCTGCTGCCGCTCCTCCATCCTCGCTCGGAGCGGGCGGCCCTGCAAGACACGGAGTCCTGGACACCCGGAAGCTTTCCTTCCCCGGGGCTGCCTGGCGCGCCGCCCCGAGCCGCTCTGTCCGACGGCAACGGGCGCCGAGCAGGGGCCCCGAGGGGCCGAAACGACGGCGAACCAAAGCCTGAGAGCACCCTCTCCTCGGGACGCCCTCTTCCTCGCGGTGGCCCTCTGAAAAAACGACGCGAAGATCGGGACAAAATCGGATCGGGATAACTCGAAATCTCTGAGAGTCGGCGGGTTTCGAGGATGCATTGGGCGCCGCGGCCGCTCCAGAGCGTTCCGGAGCGTTCTGAGAGCGCTCCGGAACGCTCTGGAGCGATTTATCCCGATCCTAGCCCTGTTTTATCTGTACCCTCCCACCCCCACTCTGAGACGAGAATGATGTCATGAGACCGTTGGCTCGGAATCTGTTCCAAGAACTCTGGAGATTCTAGCATCTAGCAGCCCTTGTTTCTGCAGCCTGCGCGGAACACTGGGAAATCTCAGAACGCTTTAAAAGATTGGAACTGATCATTATGAGAGTCTCTGCCCATCCCCCGCTCACGGCTCCGGCCGCAGGAGGTAGTCGATGGGCTGGCGGTACCCGATGGCCCGGCCGGGCGGCGACTCGGGGTCCAGCACGCCACGGCACAGGAGGCCTGCCACCTGCAGCGGAGGAATCAAGCCCCCCACCGTCGACCTTGGAGTTACTGCCGGCAACTTCCGCACAGCGTGTCGCGGCGGCGGCCCTAGCGGCACGCTGTGCCCTGCAAGCGGGTAGCGTGCCGCTCCGCTCCGCGGGGCGAGAAGCTGGAACGGCTCGGGATATTTTACCAGCCTGGAACATATCCCTATCCATGTGCTTGGCATCTCCTCATCACGATGCCAATCTTAGGGATTCCCTTATTTTTTGAGGACGAATCCCTAAGATTGTCATCGCCTTTTGGCGTGTCAATCTTAGGGATAGGGATAAGTTCAAAGCTGGTAAATATTGACGCTTGGGGGCGAAGGCGTGGTCAGCGTGTCGCGCCGAAGAGTGATGGGCCATCGCCGGCGGCGCGACGCGCCAGGCCAAAGAGTTCCTGACCGTGCGGAACTGCCCGCCGCCGAGCCTCCGGCGGAAACGGTGCCCTGCGTCCAGAGCCTTTTCCCCGTACCGCGGTCCATGCACCGACCTCACGGCCACGGTCATGAGATTAGCTGAGTGCTGTTTTGTCTCAATAGTTGTTGCCGCCTTACCGCTTGCTCAGCTGTGTATAACATTGTGCTGAAAGGTGCGGCTCCTGGTTGATGTCACGTTGTGTTGTGTCTCTCGTATGCGCATGACGTGCCCAAGTGGGTATGAGCTAAACGGGTATGCCTGAGATCGTTTTCACTGTATTCCATGCTAACATGTACTGTCACTTCGGCTCCGTGTCGACAGCATTGTTTTCCCATATCACTGAATACATGACAGTCATTCCCCAATCAGAGCTTGCCTCTGTAGAGGTCCTAGCGGATTCATTTGGTTAGGTTAGGTTTGTCACCGATTTTCGCTGCACGCCCGGGTGCCCCGGTGCCCGGGGGTGCCCGGGTGCCCGGGGGTGCCCGGGGCCAGGGTGCCCGGGGGGTGCCTGGGCGGTGCCCGGGTGCCCGGGTGCCCGGGTGCCCGGGTGCCCGGGCGTGCCCGGGGGTGCCCAGGGGTGCCCGGGGGTGCCCTATAGCGCTATAGCCCTATCGTCCTAAGCCCTATAGCCCTATAGTCCTATAGCCCGATAGCCCAATAGCCCTATAGCCCTACAACTCTATAGCCCTATAGCTCTATAGCCCTATAGCTCAATAGCCCTATAGCCCTATAGCCCCCTAGCTCTATAGCCCTGATTGGGGCTTTTCTCCGGTATCATATGATTATGCGATTTTCTACGTACCACTCCTGTAGAGCAATTGTTCGATTCGTGCAACCGTGGGGTCTTAGCAATGTGAATTAAGAGCTGGCCTGAGACCAGCGCGGATTTTCAAGTGTCACAAGGTCCTGCCCATACGGTCTCATAGTGTCCCACCTAAAAGCCAACTCTTACCCCACAATTTCCCTGCCGGCTTCCCTCACAAACCACACCCTTCAGTCCCCCAACAGCCCCCGCGCCGCCGCTGGCGCGGCCCCTTTCTGTACCGCAGGGCCCACGCTCGCCCCCGAGCCCCCTTCCTGCCCCCGCAGCCCCTCCTTCGGGCGCACGCCAACATGGATTGCGGACCCGTGGACCTGATGCGTGGGCGCCAAGCCCACAGATCGGGAAAGGCAGCCCCCGAAACAGACGGCCGGCGCCGACCGACTTGGCTTGGCGACGGAGCGCGCCGATCCTGTATGCTGCAACGGCTCCTCAAAATCTAGAGAGGGGGCACGCGCGGGCCTCATTTAAGACTACGCCCTGCTGGTTCAGGAGGCGGCCGAGCTCTGCGTTCGCTCGGAGCGGGGAAGAATTCGCGCAATCCGCCAGCCCCCTTGGGAGCGCCATGATGTCAAGTCGCATGCTGGACTGCTGTAGTGCGTTGTTTGCGGACCTGTTCCCCACATTCCAAGTGGGGGTCTGGTTTTCTCGAGGCACCCCGCTCAGGAACCCTCTTCGCCATCGTCATCATCATCAGCATCATCGCCATCATCGCCATCACCACCATCGTCTTCATAATCATCAAATCATCGACATCCTCATCATCACCACAACCAATACCTCGTGCTCCCAAACGTAGAGCCGACCTCGGGCTCACATTGCATTGTAGACTCCGTATGGCTCTGACCACCCCAGCGCCCCCAGTGCAACATCGCCTTGCACGACACTATAATTTGTCTTCCTCCTTCTTTATCCTACTCCTCCGTCTGGCCACCCGCAGAAGCCCCCCTCAATAATCCTAGTCGGGCGCGACGATGACAAGAACGTGAAGTCAACATCGGGGCCCACTTCGTCTTGCAAGAGCCACATGGATCTGACCAGTCCAGAGACGAAGTCCTTCTCCTCATCCTCCTCCTTCTCCTCCTTCTGTCCTTCTCCTTTTCCTTCTCCATTCCTTTTCCTTCTGGATCACTCCTCCTTGTCGCACCCCTAGGCAAATCGGAAAGGCGGGCCGGGCGCTTCGCCTGAGAAGTCCTCGCCATGTTCGACCCTGAATTGAAATCCGCAAGAGGAGAGGTTCACTGATGGAGGGAGAGTGGTTTGCAAAATGTGGTAATCGCTTCAGCGCCACGCACATCCACTTTAGAAATTTGCAAGAGCTTCACGGATTGAGGACCGGTCGTTTTCGAAATGTGGCTCTCGCCTTTTCCGCCGAGCAAACTTGCAAAAACGAACGCAAGAGCTTCACGAATACAACCCCCTGGATTTAAAAGTGGAGACCGCAGGGGCCGAGGTAGACGTGGTTTGCCTCCCGTTAGGCAGCGGGGCCCCGGGACAATGTTGGATTTGTTGCCAATTCCGGAGTTTCCGGTGCCTCCATCATCCCTTTAATATTATAAAGGCCAAATGGGGCTCCGACCGGAAAGTGGGATTCTGCCTAGGACTTCCTCAAAAAAAGTTTCCGGTCGCCTTCCAGGGCGACCGGAAATTCTGCCATGCCACCGGAAAGTGGCGATTCCGCGTGGGACTTCCTCAAACAAATATTCCGGCCCTTTTTGAGGCCGCCAGACAGTGGCGATTTCGCGTGGGACTTCCTCACACATTACTTTTTGTCGCATCTCATGCCCCCAGAAAACGACGATTTCGCTTGAGACTTCCTGACATTCGAGTTTCTGGTCTCATGTACGCTCACACAGACGCCGCGGACCTATTCCTCTTCCCACTCTCTCCTCTTATCATCACAGTATTGGATTGTTCCGTGTCGCATGCTCTCCGTGCAAGTCAGATTCCAGTTGCCACAGCCTCGCGCGCGCGGTCCTATCTGCGCCTGGGCGGATGTCCGCAGGGATGGCCGTTGCATCGTTCGGTTCACAGGTTTGTCTTGGAGTCATCTTGAGGCCATCTTGAGGTCGCGTCGGGTCGCAGGCCCCCCTGTGGGAGGTTCGATCCCAGGGTCATTTTGGGGCGACGCGGTTGACCCAGGATGTACGGTCCAGAATCGACGATCCAGGATCGATGATCGAGGATACACGATCGATGACCCAGGACCGACTGTGGAAGAGCGAACCCATATCGATCGGAAACGAGGCTTTGGGTTCCACGGCCGATCAATGTTCGACAACCACCTAGCGATTGAGGGTCGGAGATCGAGGGTCGAGGATCCAGGGCCGTTCGGACATCGAGGAGCCAGGATCGAGCGGCCACGATGCGTCGAAGTTCGACGCTGGATGGCCGATCGAAGAGCGACGATCGAGAACCGATGTTCCAGGCTTGATCGAAACTCCAGGCTCCAGAATGCCTGGCCGATCGAACATCCATGATCGAGGTTCGATCGAGGCTCGAGGATCGAGGATCGAGGGCCCCAGATACTTCGAGGGTCGAGGATAGAGGTCCGGTCGAACAGCGACCATCGACTTCCCAGGATCCAGTCCCGATCGAAAGTCGCGGCTCGAAAGCCGAACGACGGACGAATACCAGGATGCGGTTCTTTCGGTGTAGCTCCGATCTCAACTTTTTAATCCAGGGGGTGGTAGAAGGCGGGCCGTTTTCAAAATGTGGTGCTCGCCTTAGCGCCGCGCAGTCGTCATAAAGAATTGCAGGAGCTTCACGGATGGAGGGCGGCTCTTTTACAAAATTCGGTTCTCGCCTAGCGCCGCGCACTTTCGTACTCAGAGTTTACAACAGTTTCAAGGATTCTCGTGGCGAGCGTCCCAGAAACTGTGTTTTGGCAAGATCTCCGACTGTCAGGGCGCAACGATTACGTTGATTCGTGGTGCTGAAGTCCCAGGAATGGTGTTCCAGCACGGTTCAGGGTCGTCACGACGCAAGAGTAACTGCGGCTCGCGGCGTTGAAGTCCCAGCAATGGTGTTCTGGCACAGTTTATGATTCTCAAACGGTTGTGTTCCAACGAGGCAACCCCTTCAGTGAAAATGAACTCTTGTAAGGGATTGTCAAGAGGGAGCTTTGAGGGAGGGTTTATTGCAACATCGTTGATGAGTCTTGGCTTTACACTGGTCCTCATCCTCCTCCTCTTCCTCCTCCTCTTCCTCCTCCTCCACCTCCTCTTTCTCCTCCCTTTCCTCCTCCTCCTCCTCCACCTCCTCCTCCACCTCATCCTCATCCTCCTCCTCCTCCTCCTCCTCCTCCTCCTCCTCCTCCTCATCATCATCATCATCATCATCATCATCATCATATCCATCCTCCTCCTCACCCTCCTCCTCCTCGCCCTCATCCTCGTCCTGATCCTCGTCATCGCCGTCCTCCTCGCCATCGTCCAGGTCGTTCTGTTCCTCATCCTCTTCTTCCTGCTCCTCCCCCACCTCCTCCTCCCCCTCCCCCCCATCTTTCTCCCTCCCCACTCTCCCTCCCCTCCCCTGACGCCTCCGCACTACGCATACGACTCCTCCTCATCAACATCATCATCATCATCATCATCATCATCATCATCATCATCATCATCAACAGCATCATCATCTTCTTCATCACCATCAGTAGAAGCATCACCAGCAGCATCGTCATCAACATAACCATAACAGCCAGAATGACCATAATACCAATTACACAAGTCATAGTTATACATA